CCACTCAGCCGAAAAAAACGCCGGTGCTCAACCAACTGGGCATAAAAAAATCTGTAGCAAAGACGCGATAAAAGCTGAACTCGAACGAATCAAAGAAACGCTTCTCGAAAACGGTCATCCGGAGCGATTTATCGAGACCCACATGAGGCGATGCATACCAAGAATACCAAAACAAATAGTAAAAAAGAAACAGCTTTACCTGACTCTTCCATTCAAAAGAAATAATGCGGCTGAGACATGCATGCGTCGACTACAGCAACGCTGCAAAAGGACCTTTAATGCGGCTCAGCTGAATGTGGTTTTCACGAGTAGACCTTTACTAGTTCCGAGATTCAAAGACCGAGTGCTTGATCATCTCCAACCAATGTTAATCTACCGGTTCAACTGCCCGTGCGGGGCCAGGTACATTGGACGGACGACCAGGCATTTAGGTAAGAGAATCAAGGAATACCTCTCAAGTTGGCTCTAAAATCGCGAGAATAGGACAGACTACAGTACGATTATGAACCATCTAATCAACACAGGCCACCAGATAAACAAACAAACACCCTTTCAGATTCTCTACAGAATACCACCAAGATATAGCCATCGTGTAAGAGGAAGCCTATTTGTCACCGCTGAGGCAGTATGCACATGCCTGACAAACCCAGAGTTGTGTCCAGAAGAAAATGATGCAAACACTACAACTTCCGTGGCTGACCACCAGACTGGAAGGAAATGATGGGACTCCGCAAATCTACCTGACTTCCATCATGTGATCAGATGACTGCCATCATGATCACAAGTTAAATGTTCTGACTAATTGTTTCTTTGTTATGCTGACGATTGCAACCGGCCTTGCCCTAATGTATAAGCCTGACGAAGAATTAATCGAAAACAATTGTTCGCTTGAAGCTTCGTGTTTTATTTCTCTTGTGGTCTCTTGGCCGGTCGAACACGTCGCAATCAAAGCAAACAGTTTAATACGGAATAAGAGCGGCTTTGACAGCAAAGCCACAGGATCAATGCGCCGCGCATATACCTTCTTCTCCATATACTCCTTATCAATGCCGTCCGCTTGTTGCGTGTTGACCTCTTACCTAACATCCGCATATGCCACTTTTATGAGTAAATGTATATGTACGCGACAAATTGCTACCGCGGAAGCGGCATTCATAAGATTAACAAATCCGAACCTATGCATCCAGAATAAACACGTCCAAGCGCTACAGCTCCCATGGCCATCATCCAATCGCGAAGAGTCGGACGTAACCCAGCAATCCCACATGCCATCAGTCATATGAGCGCCAGACGCAGATCAATAAACTCGATTCAGATGTTTTACATCAGTTGTTAACCTTTGTACCGACAAGTGATATGTCAGGTTTTTAACGTTTATTTCTGTACTGAGCCTGATGAGGAATAAGTCGAAACAATTGTTGGCTCTGAAATCATCACTTGCGTTTCCGTAATTAACCATAAATGGGCAGTTTCACTTTGCAATGGACATTTTACAAACCAAATTGGACACATTGCATTCTAAAGTGAAAAGCAGCAATTTGTTAACACAAAATGAGAAGGCAATTAGACGATGTTCAGCAGGCGATTGGGCAAAACCGAGGTTCAGCTAAACATATCCGCTGTAGCGTAGCCAATTTCAAACCAATCAGCGCATAAGCGAAGTATGCGTAAGCTACCAATCAACTGATCTGTATTACTTGTGGCAAGCTAGCCGCTTGCTTTATCATGCAAATCCATATCGTTCCGCTTGACAATCCCATCACACCTTGTGCTACACAAACCGACCAGAATCAGAGAGGATGCACCTCGGAGGCAGCAACGGTAAAAGGGCACGTCATCGGCAATGAATGAGGTTACCGCCTCATATGTTTACCAGTTCACCTGTATTTGCGGTAGCATGTACATTGGCCGAACCGAGAGAAGGCTATCAACTAGAGTTATGGAAGATGTTCCACGGAACCTAGCAAATAGTGGCCTAAACTTTCTGCCAGCGCAAACACTCAGAAACTGCTCGATTGTATCTTGTGCGAAAACCCACGTAACGCATTAAAGGTTATCGGCAGACAGAACAACGCGAGCTTGCTTCGTTTCGCTGAAGCCTCAGCCATCCGGCAAATGAAACCTAACCTATGCAAAGAGGTCGGCCTTGTGGCCAGTCTTGCATTGCCTTGGTAAAAGGTAGGCGATGACCTTGAGTTTCTCAGTGTTTCATTGATTTCCTTATTGATCCCCTTTTCAACTGCATTCCTTTACTCTTTCCATGATTTGTCTGTAAGCGGCTGAATGAAAAGACAGGAAAGAATCTGAATTCAGGTTATCCCGTAAACATGTTTTTCGTTCTTGCTCTCTTATAATAATAAAGTGACAGCTGTACGCCGTAACAGCGCTTCGCTGCCGTGCGACCACCGTCGGTCGCAAGTGGGCTAAGGATACTGCGAGGGTCGACCTTCCCCTACGCAGGCTCGAACCTGCGCCGCCAGATTACAAGATAAGCTTGTTACGTTTAAGCTACTGGCCGGTAACAAGTAAACTGCCATTACTCAGCGCAAATATGGAGGAAACAACAGGGAGAGACCGTCGAACAACATTCCAAAAAGACCTCGGTGCAATCGCAGTATCGTGCCACATTCGTCAATGCCCTGAGAAGGTTAAAGGCTAAAGAGCCACTACGACATAGACTGCGTCAACAGTTCCACGACAATCGCAACCTGGCACTTTTACGCTCGCGATTTTCGGTACACGCACCGCGACTGAGAAATGAGTTTTCACTGATAAAAGTGGGTTAAGCCTCCATGTGCAGGATCTGCATTTTCATCGGTGGATATCGACCTAGTTGGCTGGCTTGCCGAACTACCTCCTCGTGGTGTCAGCTGGTGATTCGGGTGTACCCCGAAGTTCCAGAGAAGTGTTCGGCGACAGTGTTATACTTCGGTGGGGCATTGTACTCCAGCAACTCTGCTGATTTCATGGAGAGCATTGGACCAATACCAAACGAAAGAGTTATGAACTGAAGATTCAGTCAGCGCCTCCCAATGGGCGCGATTCCCTGAATTCGTCCCGCTGCTTTGCGGGTAGGTTGTTTAACCAAAGGTTCGGGATGGGGTACCCTAAGTCAACTCCCTACTTCGGCTTGGGCAACCGGGTAGTATCACGCCCTCTCACAAAAACATGGACTGTACTACAACGTGCTCATCAGCTATCGTTTCCGCTTCTCACATTCAAGCAACTTGACCACACGCCAATTGTTTGTTTGTCAACAATCCGTACTTTCCGTTACCCGATTCACGTGTTCAGAAATCTGGCCGTGATTCCGGTTGCGCCGCGAACCACGGAATTCAACCTTGGGCTCTCCTTCCTCCCGATCCTCGTTCCGTCTGGCATGCTTCAACGTTCAGACACCCATGCAGATTGGACAGCAAGCCGGTCTAGCGCGTATCCTACAGTCCCCGGACATAGATGTCTGCTGCCTTTCAGAAAACCGATTGCAAGATCCCAGCACTGTGCTTACATTGACATCGCCCACTGACCATGAAGCCAGATATCACCTGCGTCTTTCTGAAGATCCAGAAGCAGCCTCAGCTGGTTTGGCTGGTGAAAGTATAGCATTAAGTGGCAAGGCCGAGGCGGCACTACTGGACCGGTTCCCGATTAACAGCCGACTGTGCAATTCGGCTTCGGGGTTCATGTAGAATCAACAAGCGGTGCGAGGAGAGATGTAACTTGTTTGTGATCTCCGCGTACGCTCCAACTGACTGCAGTGGTGGCTCGGTCAAGGAAGACTTCCAAAGGGATCAAATACTATGCCACAATGATTATGTCGCAGTGGGCGATGTCAATGTAAGCACAGTGCTGGGATCTTGCAATCGGTTTTCTGAAAGGCAGCAGACATCTATGTCCGGGGACTGTAGGATACGCGCTAGACCGGCTTGCTGTCCAATCTGCATGGGTGTCTGAACGTTGAAGCATGCCAGACGGAACGAGGATCGGGAGGAAGGAGAGCCCAAGGTTGAATTCCGTGGTTCGCGGCGCAACCGGAATCGCGGCCAGATTTCTGAACACATGAATCGGGTAAAGGAAAGTAAGGATTGTTAACAAACAAACAATTGGCGTGTGGTCAAGTTGCTTGAATGTGAGAAGCAGAAACGATAGCTGATGATATATATATATATATATATATATATATATATATATATATATATATATATATATATATACCCTGGTAGCAGGTGAAATGTGGTGGTGGGGTAAACCTTCAGGGTGGCAAGTGCGACCAGCAGACACTGTGTCTGAATAGGATTAAAAAGGTGGCAAGAACCAGCTAAATAGCAAATAACGCGTGTCAGAAGGTGAGGCGATGGACCACAAAGAGTGACCATGAGTTGCGACAAATATTTTCAACCAACATAGTGAAATTATTCACTTAGTCAAAGCATGAAGCAAGCTGTGCGGAGAGAAATGACAGAGTGTGATGGTGGACCTAAATCTCACAGAAGAACACGGTAGCTACGAAAGGAGTGGTCGAGTCCAGAGTGCAAGGTGACATTGAATTGGACTGTATGCAAAAGGGACCAGCTGCAAAAAGCTGACACTCCGTAAGTCATTAAGCTATTAAATCGCGGAAGAGAACTTCTCCCGTCAAACGACAAGGAATTGAAAAGCCCATAACTCCTTGAGAAAGCTAAAAAGCACAAATGATGTGCTATAAAAAATAGGGGTTACTGCGAGCGCACAATATGAATCATCCTACAAAACGAAGTCGATGCTCTACCTTGGCATTGGCTACGAAATGCTAATTGAAAGCCAGTGGTTAACTTAGGTCGATCCGACGAGTGGTGTGTGATTGACATGAAGTGATCCTTGTGCCTAACAAAATAATTAGGTTTCATGTCATAAGGGTCGGCCGCCAATAAGACAAATCTAAAAAGAACCACTGAATCTGTGTAGTATCTATCAAAAATCGATGCCATAAAAAGCGATAGAGATGAATCGAATCAACTTACACGCTGAGGCATCAATTCAGTGTCTGGTCCAGAAAAAGAATGTTGATTGGGACTGTCGCCATGAGTTTTCGATGTGCTGCATTCAATGGACAAGCTGCGAGAAAGTCGGTTAATCAAAGCAGATGCCATGGCGGAAGGGTCATGGGACGCGGCGATCAAAGCATCGGTGATCGCCTGAATACTTTTAGGCACAGGTTGGAAACCAGCAGCCATGGGGGAGCGAATCTCCAAAAGGGAGTCCAGCTGAGCTCCGTCAGTGGGTAGAGTGGGTTTGATGGGTTCAGGTCGAATAAGATTGTCATCGCCAACCTCTCGAAGAACGCGTCCGTAAACACCACTACCGTGGTTCACACTAGCAGACACCGATGACTCATCGGACACGACCCGATATCGTCGACCTGATTTACAATCATAGCGGGAGGGAGTAGGAAGAAGATGTCCCAGCGCATCCACCACATGCTTAGGCTCGACGACCTACAGGAAAGGAAGATGGACAGCACATTCATGCACTGGTGACCCCGAATGTATACCGGCGAATTCATGGGTCAACGAGTTTAAAACGAACAGTAACAGATATGATCTAGAAGGATCGACTGTTGCGGAAGCAGCATATTTGTCGCAATGTTACCGAAGTGGTAGGGGGGTAGAATGACAGTGGTATGACCACTTATCCTAACATGGAAAAATTTCCCCAGGTAGCCAGGGTAACGCCTTCTAAAACAAACACAGTGAATCAGCGTTCTCACAAAAAATCCTTGTTCAAACTACCACGCATAATGCGAAAAATGGTGTTGTGACATTACAACAACACAGCGTTTACTACATTACACATGACAGATGCGAGGAGTTTGGATGAGAACAGGAAAGCTTAACCAATGACGATATATGAAAACAAGCTAGTAGAAGATAGGTGCTCATTTTTAATCCCGCATACTCGTACGTACTAAAGTAGCCGTTATTAAATGACACGCACACACGAGAGCAGTGCTGCAGGGAGATATCCATTAGTTTGCAGTCATCGGAATTCCAGGTACAACTAGTATATGCATTTTTATTGAAACTGGTAAAGAATTGCAGTGGATGATGAACACATTAAAAGATGCATTACCGAATGCAAGAAAGTGTGGTGACAAATTAGTGCTCAATCAATTATGACATAGAAAACCGATTTACCAGAAATGTGATATATCTTACTGTCCACTGGAAAACCTGACGTTTGGGCCAAGTTATATGTTCACAGATTTCAATCTCTTTGAGATGACACTTTAGCAAGCTATATCTGTGCGATGCATGCAACCTTAGGGGCACCATTTTCACCTTTGAATACGTGTGGGTCAGCCCCTCGTCAAGCGTGGATAGAGTAAATAAATAAATAAATAAGATACTATGAATAACTTTGGGAAAGTACATTTGATCATCACCCTAGAAGTTGCCGATTAGGCCGGATTTGGGGGTGACAAGGCTATGTGGAGAGACTCAACAATCGAATGCACAAAAATTGGGAAACGGTTGAATTGCTGGATGTAGTTGGGTAGCGACACAGTTAGATGACTGCTACTTACCTAAGTCCATACGCTGCAAATCCATTCGATTAAAGAAGAACTCGAGGAAGCATTGCTGCCCGGTCGTGTTCAAGCACTTCGACAAAACCAATGCCGAAAAGATCATTCGCTCTCAAGGTCTTATAGCAAGATCCGGTTTCGAAAGGATAATTCTTAAACACGATGAGACACTACTCCAGAAGGGGGTGATTCGAAGTGGACGATCACTGGTAGGCCCGAAAGCAC